GGACTACTTAAATTAGACAATGACTAAAGTTGTATGTGTAGCTTGTTGTATACTCTTTATATAATTACAAACAGTAGAAACTATCAATGTATATCCCGTATGCAATTCAATAAAATTCCTTTGGCAATGTAAGCCACCTTAATAACAAAAAAAAAAAATTTGACATAAATAATATTTTGAATTTGTTTAATAACTTAAGTAAATATATCTCAACAACTATTTAACAAAAATTGATAAAAAATTTTTATTCAAATTCTATATATTTGTAAAATTAAAACAAAAAAAAAATTATTAAATTTATTCAGATAGCTGTAAAGATATCTTTGCTCAAAGTTTTAGAAAAAATTTGATAAACTTTTATTTTAATAAGCATTTTGAATTTGTTTACTAACTTTGAACAAAGATATCTTATCAATCACCTAATCAAAATCAATAAAATTTTTTTTATTTGAATTCTATATATTTGTAAAATTAAAACAAAGAAAAAAATCAAATTTGATCAAGTAATTATTAGAATATCTTCACTCAAAGTTTAAAAATATTTTACAAAAAATGCATTAAGAAAGTGCTCAAATTTTGAGTATATTATGTGATAATGAAACACCTGATAATCATATTGTATTGTTGCACAACTTCCCGCCAACCAAACTCTAACGTAATCAAATTTGCCAAACAAAAGTTACGATTTTATGTAACGTAACACGATCATAAATTTTTTTCCTCAAAAAACTTTTTACATCGACGTTAGAGTTACTATCAGAGAAAGAAAGAAAGAAGAAAGATGAGAATAATATATGAGGTGCAGAAAATAGAATCAGCTCATTTTTAATCATTTGTTTTGATTTTCGGACCGATCCGGGATTAATCTAATTTCACGATTCTGATTGGTTAAAGGTAACAGGTAACTATCAGATAATCTCGTGATGTGTTGACCTACGTGCCTCGTGTAATTTTTCTTTTACATTATCTCGATTTTTATTATGCAAATAGACTTTCATTTATAATTAAAAAATGTCAATCATATCAAAATTTACATGAATATAATAAAAACACATTTTTCAAAAAACTAACCCTAATGTAAATGAACTTTAACAAATTTTTCGATCGAAAAAAATTTGTTGGCGGTAAGGTCACAAAGTTTATTTTTCATTTTGCATTACCCGCCGACCAATTTTTTTTTTTTTTTTTATTTTGAAGTTCCAATTGTGCTAATTATTATATTTCTTTTTTCCATAAAATTTATCCGGTGTTACCCGACGAAGGTCTTAACTTCTCGAAATTATCCGATAGGATCGATAGAAAAAAAATTAAATTTTCTGATCTTCATGCTATGCAAAACGAAAAATTAACTTTGCATGGCAGATATGAACATAAGCTTATTAATTTACAGTAGATTTTTTTTTTTAAAAACAAAATAATAATTTCCGCCCGCCGACCAATTTTTCAGATTTCATGTAATGCAAAACGAAAAATTAACTTTGCGTGGCCTAATATAAATTCGTCTACGTTGCTACATAAAGATAAATACGTAACATGAAATCGCCAAGAAGTTAAAGAAGATATTAGTTCTATATAGTGCTAGTTATTTCTATTCATTTCTAATATAGTTATTAGCTCTGTATAGATATTAACTTATAGACCCGCAGTCCCCAGTTTGTTCCCCATTATTATGTATAAATATCTCCGATTTCCTTCGAGGAATCATCAGTGAGAAATCACTAAATAATTAATAAAGTATAACGATATCAATACTGTATCTTCATATACTGATATTCGTTATTTTCCTCTTTCAACGCCTTCACCCAATCCTCTCTAAAGTCGTGATCAATATCCGATACTTAGCTGTGATCACTTATCTATCGCCATATAAATACAGCAGTCCTTATAATTATTTGAGAGGTTAGTTTTAGGTTTGACAGTACCTATTGAATATCCATCACGATATAACTACTATATTTCATATTTGGACAGATCTAAACTAATACGTATTATTTAAATTGTTAAATTTAGCAACAAGTTTAAATAAAAAAAATCCGAAATAACAAATTTACGTAAAAGAAAAGCAATGTCAACAAATACAATTATAATGAAAATAAATCTTCTGGTATATTAAACATTGAATTTGAAGAGAGAAAGCTGGCTTTTAAAACATAACTGATAAAATAAAACTCAGAAGAGAAGCAGCCAAGGTTGGAGCTATTGAATTGCAAAATCAGCAACTAAAAGTTTTGGGTTATCTTAGTAAAGCTGATTAGTTTTTTTCGTATGATATTTTTTATTTTTATTTTTTTTGAAAAAAAAATTTAATATTCGTACGTACTGTACGTACATCCGTACAATCAAAATTTTTGTATGCTTGTCCGAATTTGTGCAACCGTACTATATTTAAAACCAAATTGGGATGGCTTACTATATTTGCCTACAGTTCTTTTATTACTTCATATTATACTTGTTACCCAAAACTATTTTTTTTTTTTTTCGAAAGTGTTCAGTTTTTCAAGATTGCGGTTTCGAAAGATAATTTCGTGTAGGTTTCGGGTAACAAGTATACTTCATATTCGTTAGATTTCTTTTATTTTTTTAAGAATTACCTCATTTTTACTCAAGGGGTTGAAAAGTGAATTATAAATATCAGTATTGTTAGTAAAAGAGAACAATAATTCTTACTCTTGCTAAAAATATCTTGTAAATAATAACCCAAACATAAGGAACGCTTTTACATAATTAACTGGAAAACTGATCATTACCCGATAAAAGCCATAATCTCGAAAAGAATCCGATTGCTCTCATTAAGGAATCCATATAAAGACATATTGATTCCAACACAATAATAAAATGAACTTTACTTATGGTTTGTCTAAATTAGTGATACTTTCTTCCATTGCTCCCAACATGGTATTCGTGTTACTGTACGAATTTAGTATCGTACAATATGATTAAAATTATGATATGTATGCATGCATTTACGTACGTACATATTCATTTGGATAATACGTATACGTAGAGTTTTTTCTCTGAGAATTACCTTATTCATAAAGTCATTTAGATACGCCAAGAGAATCTGATTCGGAATTTATTCTCCTGTTCATATTCCATATCAGATATTTCTTTTTTTACACTTATTGTTCGTGTTTAGATTGATCCAAATACTTTATATTTCTTTTGATTATACTGTATTAGAAGATGAAATGTATCATGAATCTGAAAAATTCAGAAAATGTAAAATAAAATATAGTACAACAAGATTGCTAAATTTTAGAACAAAAAAAAAAAAAATCAAATTCGCCTTGTTTTATTCAAAATTTGAGCTGAACTTGACTCAAATTGTTGAGTTGAGTAGCAGACTTAGGTAACCGCCCCACTAAATCAAATTTCAAGATCAGGTGTAACTTAAGATCAAAACAAATACACACAACTAATAGCGGAATTTTTTAAGTTGGTAACGCTAGGGAGACTTGGGTCGACGTTATGCATAATGTAAACATAGAAATTTTTGGTATAAAGAAACGATGAAGATCTTTTTTTATTGTCAATTTACCCCTTTTCTGTAGCACCAAGGCCATATGGATAAACTCCGTTTATCTCACCTCTAGTTTTATCTCATTTGATGACATCCAAATATGAAATATGCGATTTTGTATTTAATCATGCCCTACCGCCATTATTTCTGTAGAGTAGCATAATAACACCATGATTAATTACAAGTTAATATTCATTATTTTTACCATTTATAATTATATAGTTGCGAATGCAGCATATAGTAAGTTTATTGATTTTTAATATATACGGTCAACTCTTTTATAACAAACCCTCAATTCTGGAAGAAAAAAAAAGTTTGTTATAACAAATTATTATGTTTTCGTACTTTTTTTATACAGTTAATCAACCCAAAGAAAATTATGCTACTGTTAATCAAACCACTACTAATAATGCTGGAAATCAGAATCAATCTACTAGCAATACTGGAAATCAGAATCAAACCAACGGTAAGAATTACACTGTTAGTTTATATATAATTATACAGTATAATTAATATGTATTTATAATATATAGATAGTAGTAGTCTTATAATAGGGATTGTAATTCTTGTGATTTTGGCTCTTATTTTCATTATTTTGGCCGTATATGGAATGCGCAATACAGATCATAAAGTATCATTTCTTTGCAATTACTTATTAGCATTCATTCTTCCTCCATTATGCGTTGTTTTAGTATTTAATGATGGTGCCAAAGATGGTGCTACACTTAGTAAAACATTTCATGTTATTTTTAATATAGTTGGTTCCTTTACTTATGTTGTTGGTGTGATTCACGC